TGCACTAGTATTCCACTGTGTTGAGAGAGGCATCATGCGTTACCTAGCATGGTCCATGCAACAACGCTTTTGTTCTCAGCGCATGTCGCCGCCTCAAGGAATGTCTCGGCTTCTTCAAACCTCTCGTTCATCAGAGCCATACAGCCGTACATCAGGAGACTGGGGATAGAAAGAAACGGAGTAAATAGACCATTTCACAGCTGTCTGTTCAGTGGCCTGGCCTTTGAATGGCAGCGAGACTGGAGGCGACCTTGTTTTGATAGACCTCACTGTTTTTGTTATGTAAATCAAGTTGTTCTGATGCCAACTAGTTTGCATTTAAATGAGAAAAGCAGAGAGGTCTGTATCAAAGCAAGGTCACCTCCAGCCTCGCTTGCATTCATAGGCCAGGTAACTAAGCACACAACTGTAAAATGGCTTAATGTGGATTGAGAGGTGCATGGCAAAACATGCAATGTTGAACTAACAGAGAAAAACAAGAAAAGAATCCAAGGTCCTCTGGTACCATGGAATGTCTTTCCGATGTCTCACGCTCATGGCCAGCTGGTTAACATCCTATCAAAAAACGTTTATCACCTACCCTGGAACATGCTTTTGAGCGATTGCTATAGTCTCCTTGAAACATTCCTCAGCCTAAAACGAGAGAGAGAGAGATTTGCTAAAAGATAAAGGTAAAGCAAGTTTATTTATACACGGTTGTGTTTAAAGTTAGAAGCTTGTACGACTATGTGCATGAAACCAATATTAGGGAGGTTAAGCAAACCTCGACGGTAACGGCAACGAGAACGCCATCAAACAAAAGGTTTAATGAGCAGAACAGCAGCTGTGCACGTGCGTTATAGCAATAACTGTGCACGTGCGTCATTTATCTTTGTGCAGTTCTTTTCCGTGCTCTACAAAACAACAACGTGAGATGACTAAGGCCCATCCACACGTATCCGGATATATTTGAATCGGTAACTTTTTCTTTCCGGATACGGCTTACGTCCAAACGCCTCCGGCGAGTTCGGCAGCGACTCCGGATATTTTTGCCACGTGTGGACGGGGAAATATTTGAATCCGGAAAGAAAAAGTTGCGGATTCAAAAATATCCGCATACGCTTGGACGGGGCCTGAGTTCTCCGTATTTTGAAGAACGCGAACGACGGCGACTAATTTTTCGTATTTTCATTTGGAATTAAACGCTGGCGTGACATGTTTAGCTTGAGCAAGTTGTGATATGCTTCTGCTAAGACCAATAGACACACTGAATAGATCTAGACAATTGCGAAATTCGAAGACAAAATAAAAATTCATTTTTTACTACGCGTTGTCCTCGGGTTCCCCGTCGTCATTGCAAGAAAGAATCCTAACTGTCAGGAGGCTGATCAGCTGGTTATTTACAAATCATGGAGGGGTTGAATTCGCTGCCACCAAACACAAATCTATTTAGTGGCCAGGAGGACGATTTGAACCTGGGACCTCAGTCGCTGTCGTCGTTGCTTAAGCTCCCTAATAGAGGAGCACGACGCCTAGTAAAAATGAATTTATATTTTGCCAGCGAAATTCACAATTGTGTAGATCTGTTCAGTACGCCAATGGCTCTAAAAACGTGCTCAGGCTAAATATGCAATGACAGCGTTCAATTCATAATGGGCGACGAAAAATTAGCGGTCGTCGTTCGCGTGCCTCAGACTACGCAGAACTTGGTCATTTCATGTTGTTGTTTTACAGAGGACGGTAAAGAAATATACAAAGAGATATAACGTACGTGCACAGCAATTGTTCTGCTCATTAAATCACTCGTTTAGTGACGTTGCCGTTGCCGTCGTGGTTTTCTTGAACACCCTAGTGTTTCTTCATAACATGTTCGCACTTAGATACAACGGACGGTATGTACACAGTATCA